TCTCCTGCCTCGGAGCTGGGCAGTTCGGAGAGTCTTGCCGAGTCCGCGCGCGGCCCGCCCAGCTCGAGACACCATTCTTTTCAGGAGGGGAAAAAATACACAGACACAATTGATCGTCGACTCCCCAGAAAATATGGGAAAATATGGGCATTGGGCGGGAAGACAGAAAGCCGGAAAATATGGGAAAAGATGGGGGACAATTTTATTTGTGTATTTATTTGTGTGTCCAAGGGCCCCTTCATTTTTGTCGGGCCCCACTTTGGGGGCAGTCGGACGGGGCTAAGACGAGGATGAATCCGTCCCAGACCATTCGGGAACGCTCTGAGAAGGCCGCGGCGTCCGAGCTATGCTCCAAAGCGGCCGGATCTCAGAGATTCTCGATTCCTCCTCGCTCGATGTTATCGTCGTCCTGACCTCGTCCTAGTCAGGGGGAGATAGACGTGCCGAGAAAAAAGGTAGGCCATGCATATCATTGCACGCAGCCATAGGAGGTCTGGCAAAGTATGCGATTCATTCCACATGCCGTTGAGAGAACGTCGACGCCGACAGGTTGAGAGATGCATTGCGGAGCGGGTGCAACATCCAGTTGTGTAGCGACGGTGGCCCCTGGTATTGCGACGGTTCCTCTGGATGTATGTTGGTTATACTGTTGTGTAAAGTCACGGTGACACATGGGAGTTCCGAGTATTAAGGCATCCCGATTTTCAGGCACGCGATGCAGCGTCGGCATTCGTAGCTGAGAGTTTAGCCTAAGACGCAATATTGGCAATTCTCTTACTCGCGCTTCGAGAGCTGTCCAGGCATACTTGTGTATGATCTGACGGGCACACCATGATGCCAAGCTTTGCCGAAGAAGGGAACAAAGAAAGAGAGAGAGAGAGGGGGTAGCGAGCATGATGGAGGAACGGGAAAGGACAGGAAAGGGTGATTAGGGGAGAGGGAGGATGGTCAGGAGCGAAAGATGGACGCACATGCACATGAGCCCACGTCGGTTTCGAGAGTCTGCGCGTTGCGCGGGCGTTCGCAACGCGAGGCTGGCCTCGAGGGTTGGGGGCCGTGTTCGTGTACGCTGCTGGGCGCGTGCGTCAATTGTGGGCTCCGCGAACCAAGGGGTCGCTCCAGCGCAGAGCCGCTTGGCTTTCATTGAACCATAGCTCGGATCTCTGGCGGCCCTTCGGGACGACTCGGGCACCCCTGGGAACGTTGTCTGCGAATCCCAGCTGCTGACGAGCACTGCAAAGCCTTCCAGGGAACCGACGAAAGCGTCCACCAGCGTGCGGCCGCGCTCCGAAGGCCACTCCGGCGAAGGGTCCCTCTTGCGCGCAGCCGCTCCTCGCCCTCCTTGGACGCGTCGGTCGACCTGGCCACGACAGTTGCCGGCGAACGCCTGCAGAAGTGGTGGGTGGTTGTCCATCCTGCCGCGGTCGGGCTTGCGCCTGCGGGAAGAGCGTGAGGGAGGATCGCGCGAGGGTGAGAGGGAAGGGGATGGGGGAGGATGGGGAAGAGAAGGGGGAGGAGCGACAGGAAGGACAGTGAGCGCATCCGGGTGCGTCGCCCGCGCGCGGTGAGCAGACTTCAGTCAAGCACTGAGCAGATAGCACAACATGCTTCGCTGGTGGCTCCGCCGCCTGCCGCTGCCTGGACGGCCTGATCCGCGGTTCTGGCGTGACGTGCGTCTTCTAGGAGGTGATCGGGCTCAGCATCTTGGGGAAGTCACCGCGATCTATCTTCGCGGGTTTCTCCTTGGCGGTCGTTGCTGAACCGCTATTGCTGTGGGTCCGCCCTGGGTCGTGGTCTTGTTCCAGCGGCTGGGGTTGTGGTCTTGTGCCAAGCTGCACAGCGCAGCGCTCAGGAATCGTGCACGAATTTTCGCCAACGCGTAATGGGGCCCCCATACTTAAGGGCTTCGGCCACAAAGCAATCTTCCCCGGGTTGGCGGCCAGTCTTCATCTTGCTCACACATCGATCGAGCTCGATATCGGTGGGCTCCCGGTCGAGCCATGATGCTGGCGCTAGTACACGGGGTACATGCTGCCAGACCCTGTCCGCGATCGACCCGGCGTCGCCGGAGATCTTCTCGAAGTGTCGTCTCCAAGCCTCACGCTCTTCCTCGACGTTGTGGGCGCTCCAGCGACCGGAGTCATGGCGATGTCCTTGCCTAATCCGCAGTTCCTTGAACAAGCGGAAGAGTTCCCCTTGGTCCCCGCGATGCGCCGCCTCCGACGCACGGGCACCCACTCCCTGCCAGTACACGCGTTCCCATGACCGCAGCACCCTGCGGCGGCGACTCGCCACTTCTTTTCTGGCACTGAGAGCAGCTGCGGCCTCCTCCTCCGGCGCCACAGCCCACTTCATCCTGGCCGGTTCCAACTCCTCATCCAAGGCCTTCTTTTCCGCTTCGTGGCCTTGTAACCACGGGATTTGGTGCCTCTTGGGCTTCTTACCAAGAACCTCCAGCGCGACCGTCTGAACGACGGAGCAGATCTCTCGCCACTCTAAGGGGCGGCCAAATGCCAAGACCCGAGCCGTCAAAGTGGTGGCAAACACTTCCCTTTTGGTTTTAGCCTCTGCAGTCGGGCCCACCAGACTCCCGTAGTCCGGCCGGTCAACCGCCGGGGGAGCAACATCCCCTCGGGGCTGACTCGAGCGAGACGCCTTAACACGCAAGTGAATTTCAACTGGTTCGTGGTCCGGATACGGGGACCGGGCCACTGCGCCGTCCTCCCTAACAGTCCACATATCGTCACTCTGCTCGCGACGCCGCTTGACAGAGCGGCGAGCGCCCTGGAGCCCGCCCTGCCCAAAGTGCAGGGTTTTACATCCCGTGAAATTCCACCAATCACGGGGCCTAGCAAGAAAGTGATCCAACTGGTGCGCAGTACGATAACGTACGTGCCACCACGTGGCCGCCATCTTCTGGCGGAACACCGTGCTCATGACGACGTATTGGTCACGGCAGAACGCTTTGAGCTCCCGGCCAGAATCCGTGAGCCTAGGGGGGCCATGTGCACCAACAACGCTGTGATCGTCGGGGGTGACCCGGCGGCCCACCTCAGCATTGAAATCCCCCCCCTATGACAAGAAGGTCATCCTTTCCTCTGCTTTTTGCTTCCACGAACACGAGCTCATCGTAGAAGCGCTCCCGAGCACGAGCATATTCACTACCGGAACACGGAGCATACACCGCCAGGAGGGTAAGGCCACGACTGTGGCCCACCCTCGGGATAGTGACAGCCATGCACCTAGTCCCCTTCCTTTCCTGTCCTCCCTTCACAACCACTTCCTTCCCCCCAATCTCTCCACTCCCTAGCCAACTCCCCTCTCAATGCAAACCCTACCTTCCCTCTTACTACTAGGGTCCATTGAATTCCCCCATACTCATACTCCCGGACACCGTTTTTATGGAAATCAAGATCGGAGAGCAGGCAAAATTGCCACCGCCGAGTGTTCATCAGCGTGAACAGACATTCTGCCTTGAACTCCTGGTTCATGGCCTGATCGCCTGCCCCGAAACGCCTGGTATTCCAGGCGCCCCCAGGGATATAACGGGTGATGTTTTGGTGCTTACGTTTTTTCCTACGTAGAAGCGACAAGTTGCGCATCGCCTGGGATCGTTTCCTAGCTCTCTTCCTCTTCCTAGTTTTCCTACGGTCCTCTCTGCGACGCAAATTCCTACGTTGACAGCGTGTCCTACCTGCCGGTGTCAAAGGGTCCAAAGAGCTCACTTCCAAAGGCCCCGAAATAAAACGTTCGCCAGCCGGCGCGCCTGGACCACGGGCGTCGCCGGCGCCGCTCCCCGCCCCTTCGCCTGGGGAAAGGTCCGGAGACCCAACCGCCCCATAGCGAATGTGAGACGAGGAGGGTTGTACACTCCCGCTCCCGATCTAGATGTTCTGGCAGGTGGCGGGTCCGTCTGGGCGCCAAAAAGAAGACCCCACCCCAGAGGCCGCGGACCTACCACCCAGAGTGTCGCTAAAGGGGGCGCCCCCGAGAGGGCATGGGTTAGCCGTACCCCCTCCCACCTCTTCCCCTCCTCCTCCCTGATCCCTCACCCCGGAGGCCCGAAGAAGACATAGACCCAAGAGGAGAACTAAGAACATGAGATTGGGGTGGGGACGAGAGGAGGGGGATAGAGTTAGGGTGGCGGATACGTTGCCCCAGGTGCGGCCAGGGCCGCCCTCGTCCTTGGGAAGCCTTAGCGATCCCTTGGCTCCTTGAGCGGCCATGCGTGGAGGCCTGTGTACCTGCACCTGGCGTAATGGGGCCTTTCCCAGTGCAGATATCATGTTGGCGGTCGGCATATCTACCTCGGCGACTGGCCGACAGCTGCTGCGACAGGCGGTGAGGATGGCAGCTTTGTCCACCGTCTCTCGGCAGTTGCCGTGCTTTAGCTTGCGGCCGCAGGGCTCAAAAGGCATGCTTGCTTGCGCCAAGGGTCCTGTGGTGCCGGGTTGGCCACGAGCCCTTCGCCCCGCTTGGCCGCTCGCAGGCTCGCGGGTCGGCGGCCATGACGTCGGCCACGCCGCGTCGGATCGGCGCGCACTTCGCGTCAATGAGCCAGTCGACGGCGGGGCCCGCCACGACGGTCACACCCCATGCTGCATGCTGCGCCGCCTGACCATCGAGTGAACGTGAGGATGAGGAGCAGAGGAGCAGGAGAAGGACACGAACGAAAGGGACGATAGTGATTAGAACATCGAGACGAGGAGGAGGAGGAGGAGGAGGAGGAGGAGGAGGAGGAGGAGGAGGAGGAGGGCAGGCGAAGAGGAGGAGGAGGAGGTCGAGGAGGTCGAGGAGGACAGGGGAGGGATGATTGGATGGACGCAGTGAGGGAGGGAGGGAGAGTGAGAAGGAGGGGAAGGGTGAGGAGTGAGGAGGGCGAGGAGCTGGCGAAGGAGGTGCACGAGGATGTGCCGCGGAGCAGGGCGAGGGAAACGACGATGACGGCGACGACGGTGACGGGGGCGGCGACGCCGCGGCCGGCGGCGCGCAGAGGGCAGGACGCCCTGGCAGCCTGCCCCAGCCGTTGTTGCCGCGCGGCGCCGCCGCTGCAGCGGCGAGGGCCTCGCTCGCTGTGGAGGTGCTTCCCCCCCCCCTTCCCCCACCGCTCCCTGCGGCACTCTCGCTCACCTTCCCGTCCGGCCTCCCTCATTCTGCTTCCCCCTCCCATCCTCGTCCACACACGCCTGCCCGCCTTTCCTCCTGATCCTGCGTCCGATTGTGCTCCTATTCTCCCCGCCTCTCCCCCCTCTCCCTCCTCCTCGCCGGCATCGTTCTCCTCTCCTCCTCCCCCTCCGCCTTCTTCTGCTCCTCCTCTGCGACGTCCTGCTGCTGCGCCTCTCCTCGCAACCGTCCTCTTTCATCCCCTCTCCTGATTGCTTCTGCTGCTGCTCCTCCTCGGTCGCCACCCTGCTCAATATAACAAAATCGCCTTCACGTTCGTCGCTTCGTCGCCCAGTTTTGTATGGCGCCTGGAATTTTGCTGACCGCCAAACTTGAGGCCGTCATGTCATTGGCCCGTGGCCCTCGGAACTCGATCTGAAGGAGGTCTCCTTCACGATTGAAGCCAGTGATTTCCAAACTTATTACGGAGCTGTCGTGTATGGGACACCGGTTACTTGTACAGGTTTGTTGTTTTCGATTTCGTTGTTAACATGTCTTTGTGGGACAGACTTGCCATTTGTCGACGACGATTGCGTGATTGCATATTTGGGGCACCATGGGTGGCGTACGTCTTTGATCAAGTGGTGTTGGGTCAATTATCGGACGCTTGCGGCGATACCACGTAATTCACTCCTAATCATTCCGCGCAGCAGAGCGCAAAAATAAGTACACTCTGAGGACATCGGGAGCCTGCTGCGGAGGGAAACGGCGATCTTTCGCCTCCCCTACCTCCTTGTCGTCCTTCGTCCTCGTCGTCTCCTCTTGCCCACTTGCGCGCCTCTTCGTGCTGCCACAGGGCGCCGCTGCCATGACAGAGCGGGCGCGCGTCGGGGTGCGGATGGGCACGCTGCATCTTGCGGTCCTGCATCATGCGCATGCCTGGCATGCTGCGGCCACAGACCCAGACCCCCTCGCGTTTTGAAGAAATCACGACGGGAGTTTTTTTTGTATTTTCGGCCTCTGGGGGCCCCTGCCGGCCCTTGGGACTGTCAGAAAGCGACTCAGGATTAAAAACCGGTCCAGGGGAATGGGTCGAGACCTCCAGGGGTCGACGTAATGAAAAGATCATGACGTCGGGAGTCTGGGCCCGTGTCCACAGGTGGGACCACCCCCTGCAGGATCCGCCGGGCCCCCCAGGGGGCAGCAATCTGACTTGGGATCCCCCCCGTGCACCCCCCCTATATACACCCCCCCGTCATGGAAGGGAAAAAAGGGAAGGGAATCTACGACGTTTCTTTCCCCTGCTCCTTCCTAAATTTTCTCGGGGCTGGCGACGACGACGACGAAGACGACGGCAGCGTCTCACACACGCCGAAGGGTCGGCGGATCTGTTCTGCTTGTGTGGGGCCCTGATGCGCGCGCTGCTGCTCCATGGCATCCGCACCCACGAACTCTTGCCTTTTCCTCATTTCCTCTCGTTCTGGGCGCTGGGCTATGGTGCTTACCTTGATGACGTTAGACTCGCTCCGTCTGTTGTCTGCTGCTCCTCTGCTTGTTCTGCTGCGTACTCCTCTCTTGCCCCTGTTGCTGTCTTTCCCCTTGCCCCTGCTGCCTTCTTCGCGCTTTTTGCTCTGCCTGATCTGCCTCCTTTTGACATTGGTGCTCTCGGCGACATCGCGTGTTACGTTCCTGTTTTTTTCGGCGGTCTGTTGTTTTCATGTGGCGTTTATGTTGGTTGTGGTTCCGGTGAATGAAATCCCCTTCCTCCTTTCATCCTCCTCGTTCTCGTTCTCTTCTGTTTCATCCTTGTCCTCCAGTCGATCCTGTCCTCCTCCTCCTCCTCCTCTCCCGCCTCGTCCTCATTGATGCCCGTATCTCGTTCTACTCTACGACCGGGTCCTCATCAGCCCGCATCTCGTCTACGTCAGGGTCCACATCAGCCATAGCCGTTGTGGATCAATGGCAGGCTCTTTAGTGAAGCCTCGTCTTACGTTTACTGTGTACTTTTGTTGCGCTCGGTGTGGACAATTTGTTCCAACTGTTTTCGATGATTTTGGTTGGTAAGACGTATGAGGAACGACTTCGTTGCTGCAAGGTGTCCCTTTCCACAGGTTGTGCACAATATGGCGTCGACATGTCAATGTTTCAGAACGAACTCCTGGTCGATCGCTTGATGGCAATTGCGGAGAACAAGCTGCTGAACATCCCGGACCAGGAGAAGGAGGCTCAGCGTCAGGTCAGCTTGCATGCGATCAGAGGATTAAACGGGACAGTGAACATGTCGACATCGCCGCAGATATCCCAAGCCGAACTCCTGGTGGACCTTGCAAAGGACACGCTGCTTAGCTTCCCTGATCTCGAGAAGGATGCGCTGCGTCAGGGCAGCCTGGCTGCAACAGCTGGGTTCAACGCGACCACGGACATGTCAGCGCTACCGCAGATCTCCCAGACCGCCGTGCCTATGGTAGGGGGCCCAGGGCTCTTCGGCGGCGCGCTGATGGCCCTTCTCATCGTCACAGCACTTCTTGCTTTGGGTTGTAGCATCTGTTTTCTCAAGGGCCTTGATCGGAAGCCGGCAAGCTCTCCACAACAGGCCAAGGAGAATAAGAAGCTTGGCCGATCGAGGCATGCGCTTGGGTCCGCTTCCAGCCTTGGCGTGTCAGAGGGAATGATGAGGCCGCCCCCTTGTTCGGCTGCCTCCCTGGCCTCGGCACGCAGCTATGCGTCGAGGGCCACCCGCGACTCGTGCGCTGGGAGACTGCTCTCTGCGAGGGTGCGCGGGCGGGACGTTGGTGGTTCTCCGAACGGCGCGGGCGCCCTAGGACTGGGCACGACGCCAGGGGGCGCACCGGCAACGAAGATGTTCAGCTTCGAGGGGCAGCGCGCCAGCATCAACAGCGCGCAGAGGCCCGATTGCGCTAGTAGTGTTGCTGATGTTTTGGATGATGCTTGTATTGTCGGTGCTGTTTCTCTTTGTGGCGATGCTGCTGGTGATGATGATGATGATGATGCTGGTGGTGGTTGTGGTGGTGGTGGTGATGATGATGATGATGATGATGATGCTGCTGCTGCTGCTGCTGCTAATGATGATGATGATGATGATGATGGTGATGGTGATGTTGATGGTGATGGTGATGGTGATGATATGATGATGATGATGATGATGATGATGATGATGCTGATGATGATGATGATGATGTAATGCTGTTAGTTTGTCGACGTTTTGTCAGTTTCGCGCAGAGGCTCAACAAGGCGTGGTACACCCCGTCGCCGCAGGCCGGAGACAGCCGATTTACGGTGCCGGTGGACACGCTGGTGAATGTCGCTGCGCAGGGAGGCTTTGACATCAAGGACAGCGCACTGGCTCAATGACTTTATGAAGGAAAGGGAGGCAGAGGCAAAGAGAGAGGTAAAGGATACCTCGCATGAGGAGAAGAAGGATGAAGACTTGCAGGTGACAGCCGTACAGGAGGAGGAGAAGAACGACCTAGTAGGATGACGATGACGAAGACGAGGCGGATAACCTCGATGTGTAAGTAGTCCTGCCGCCCCACACCCAAAGCTCACTGGCTGGCAATCAACTCTGCGCGTCCCCCTGCCCCCATTGACTGGAAATAAATTCTGCGCGTCCTCTCCTCCTCCTCCTCGTCGTCGTAGTAGTAGTAGTAGTAGTAGTAGTAGTAGTAGTAGTAGTAGTAGTAGTAGTAGTAGTAGTAGTAGTAGTAGTAGTAGTAGTAGTAGTAGTAGTAGTAGTAGTAGTAGTAGTAGTAGTAGTAGTAGTAGTAGTAGTAGTAGTAGTAGTAGTAGTAGTAGTAGTAGTAGTAGTAGTAGTAGTAGTAGTAGTAGTAGTAGTAGTAGTAGTAGTAGTAGTAGTAGTAGTAGTAGTAGTAGTAGTAGTAGTAGTAGTACTAGTAGTAGTAGTAGTACTAGTAGTAGTAGTAGTAGTATAGTAGTAGTCGTAGTCGTAGTCGTAGTAGTCGTAGTCGTAGTCGTAGTCGTAGTCGTAGTAGTAGTAGTAGTAGTAGTAGTAGCAGTAGTAGTAGTAGTAGTGTAGTAGTAGTAGTAAGTAGTAGTAGTAGTAGTAGTAGTAGTAGTAGTAGTAGTAGTAGTAGTAGTAGTAGTAGTAGTAGTAGTAGTAGTAGTAGTAGTAGTAGTAGTAGTAGTAGTAGTAGTAGTAGTAGTAGTAGTAGTAGTAGTAGTAGTAGTAGTAGTAGTAGTAGTAGTAGTAGTAGTAGTAGTAGTAGTAGTAGTAGTAGTAGTAGTAGTAGTAGTAGTAGTAGTAGTAGTAGTAGTAGTAGTAGTAGTAGTAGTAGTAGTAGTAGTAGTAGTAGTAGTAGTAGTAGTAGTAGTAGTAGTAGTAGTAGTAGTAGTAGTAGTAGTAGTAGTAGTAGTAGTAGTAGTAGTAGTAGTAGTAGTAGTAGTAGTAGTAGTAGTAGTAGTAGTAGTAGTAGTAGTAGTAGTAGTAGTAGTAGTAGTAGTAGTAGTAGTAGTAGTAGTAGTAGTAGTAGTAGTAGTAGTAGTAGTAGTAGTAGTAGTATCAGTAGTAGTAGTAGTAGTAGTAGGAGTAGGAGTAGTATTAGTAGCAGTAGTAGTAGTAGTAGTAGTAGTAGTAGTAGTAGTAGTAGTAGTAGTAGTAGTAGTAGTAGTCGTAGCTGATCGGTTGTCTGGTAGCCTGTGCGTTTTTCGCTGATGTTTTTGATTGCAATTTAATGCTGCTTGTTTGCTGCGCTGCTGCGCGTTTGATGTTTAGGGTTGCTTGTTAGCTGTGCTGTTTCGTTGCCATGCGAGTGTTAACTTCCCTGGCGAGTTGAATCACGAGTAGAACGAGGAGTCCTCTGATCTAATCCTTAACGGAGGATCTTCAAACCTCTATCCTTCGCACGGAATCCTGAATGAAGAGTCCCGCATAAAGGATCCTCACTGAAGAATCCTTAATGGAAGGGTCCTACTGGAGGAGCCCGTTAAAAAGGAATGCTTGATGGAGGATCGTTAATCAGCATTATTCAGCAAGGAGTGAAAGACGAGGAAGAGGAGGACGGGAAGGACCAGTCGGAGACAACAGCACCCACACCATTGGAACGCCAAGAGAAACCTGCCGTCCTGGGGTCTTCTTGCGCCGTCTTGAGGAGCTGGGGCCCTCCAGAGGTCTTCTGAAACCATGTACGCAGGACCCTCTTGGGGGCCTCCAGTGGCCTTCTTGGGGGTCTCCCATGGCTCTCGTGGGTCTCTTGGGAGCTTTCTGGGGAACCTTAGGCTTCTTGTGGGCAGTCTCGGGGCTCTCTGGTCTCCGATGACCCCTCTGATCGCCTTGAGTCTGCTCGCAAGGCCTGGCAAGGCGCCCTAGGAGGCCCAGAAGGGCCAGCGGACGTTTTCCAAGGACGTCCAGGGGGCCGCCGAGACGTCCGAAAGGGCGTCCGGGGCGTCCTTGGGGGGGGTGGTTCGGTTTAGGGGGGGCGGGCATCCGGGTAATAGATATATAGGAATAGGAATGTGTGTGTATATATATACACCGAAATACACATATGTATGAATGTATGTATGTATGTATGTATGTATGTATGCATGCATGCATGCATGCATGTATGTATGTATGTATGTATGTATGTATGTATGCATGCATGCATGCATGTATGTATGTATGTATGTATGTATGTATGTATGTATGTGTGTGTATATATATATGTATACATATATACACTTTTTGAGAAAGTGGACGAGGAGGAAAGGGAAATGAGGATTAGGAAGAAAAGGGGCACGACGGCGACGAAACTCTTCGAGCAGGCAGTACCAGGCCTGTGGCTCAGCCCTGGAATCTGGGAATCCCCCCCTTGAAAGCCAGCTCATTCTCTTCCCCTCCCATCCCCTTCAATCTCCTCCCCCGTCCACGTCGACTGGACGAGGTATGCCTTCCCGAAGGCCGAGCCCCAGCGATCTCCTCGCCCTGGTCCTTGGGATCCCTACGGCGGATTCGCACCTCCTTGACGCGGCGGCGGCCCCATCGCGGGCTTGCAAGGTTGAAGGCCGCCGGTAGCCTTGAATCGGCCGATATCGATTGATCTGGGCTGTCGGAAAGCCGCGATCGCTCAAGACATTCCGTTCCCCCGCCGCATGGAAAGAGGACGTAGGCAGCGGCCTGGTCCTGCGAGTGAGCCTGCGCCGCAACGACGATGGTCACAGAGTGTTGCAGACGTTCCAGGGTCTTCCACATGTAGCTCAACGCCCCTGTATGACCGTGGGCCCTCCCAAGCCACACTCGTCGAGCGACCCGGACAGCCTGGTCATCTGCGGGCCGAACGGGCTGATATTCGGGAATATCATCTTGCAGTGCACTGGGTCTTTCCTCGTGAGCGCACAAGGCCAGCCATTTCTGCTGATCGAAGGGAACGAAGCCGACCTGGACCTCCACATCTCTACTATACGTGATGGTCGTCTGGTTGGGGCGGTCTGCTGCAACGATGCGAATTTCAGCGGGCAGGAGCATGTTGAGTTCCGGGTGATGCCTGGAACCGACCCGGTGCTTGTGGTCTCCTGCATAGCAGCAGTGTTGTTCCTTTGTGGCGACGACGACGGGGACGACTCTGGCACGTGAACTCACGCGGTCCACGATGTCGTTGGCGGCAGGGCGTTGCCAGAGGTTAGCCAAGGAGCCCTTGCACGCTACTTGAGCTTAGTTAGGTGATTCTTAGGCTTACGCCACACCGCCGACCCCTTGTTTATGCCAATCTGGGGGTAGTAGAAGCTGCGAGGGGTGAAAAGGCGAGTGATATTTGTTTGGTGTCTGTTCGCCGCCACCGCCAGAGGGTCTCGGGCAGTTCCGCGGGGGGGTCCGAGCGGACGGCGACACCGCGGGCGGTCGTGGTCTCATCTGGGGCCATCTGAGAGGCATAATGGAGCCAGGTTGGGCTCGGGAATGTCTTCGAGCCGTTTCGGTAGCGGTCGGGAGTTTTTTTGGGGGACTGCCCAGGAGTCATGATGGGTCAACTTGGCCATGTGCGAGGCCACGGCGCGTGCAAAGGGTGTGCCGGCATGGGGCCTATGGCAGGCAGTTTGGAACCACTTGGGGGCCCAGGTGGAGGAAAAGGAGGAGGAGGAAAAGGGGGGCACGGAGGAACGGCTCTGGGTTATGGGTTATGGGTGAGAGGCGTCTTGTATGTGTATCGGGATCTCGCGGATCGCTTCTCGGGGGCCTCTGGAAGCGAGTTTTGGAGCCACTTGGGGGCCGTTTCGGAGCCTCTGGGGTGCTTCTTGGGGGTTCCTTGGGGCGTCTGGGCGGCCTCGTGAGGGCCTCTGGGGGCCTCTTGGGGCACTCTTGGGGCCCCCTGGGGCTCCTGGGGGCAGAAAGCTAGAGTTTCAACATGTTTGGTCGCCCTCTTGGGCCCCTCTTGGTGCCGTCTTGGAGCCCTCTTGGGCCGTCTTGGGGACCTCTTGGGCCGTGTTGGGGCCGTCTTGGGCCGTCTGGAGGCCGTCTTGGGGGCCTCTTGGGCCATCTTGGGGTTGTCTTTGGGGCCTCTTTGGCCGTCTTGGAGCGTCGGGAAGCCGAAAAGGCGGAGAAGCAAAAAACATAGAAAAACACGATGGAAAATCAACAATTTTAGACTCTTGGGGCCCTCTTGGGAGGCTTGTTTGGGACCTCGGGGACCGTCTTGGAGACCTCTTGGCCCGTCTTGGGGCCATCTTGGGCGTCTTGGAGCGGTCGTTTGGCGTCTCGGGGCCTTCGTGGGCCGTCTTGGAGGCCTCTTGGGGGCTTCTTGGCCCGTCTTGAGGCCCTCTTGGGCCCGGAAAAGCCCCGTGAACCGCTCGTCCCGGACCCCCCCCGCTCGCGCCAGACCCCCCCCCCCCTCCAAATCGACCGGACCGGGCTCCCGGGGGAGGGGTTGGGGAGGGGGAAGCATCTCACACGCCGATGATCCCCAAGGGGTCGGCGGATTTCAGCAAGCGACCTTCTTTGAAATGACTCGCCGATTGCTGGGACAGCTTCGGATAGGATGCCACGCCGGGTGCAGCGGATTGCGCTGTTCGTCCCGGCATCACTCCACTAAGAGTGGGACGGCAATTTTTTACGACCTCGCATCCATGTGCGACCAGAAGTAATGCCCAAGGCTAGGGGGCCACATGCGAACCCTACCCCTACCCCCCACGATTTCTGAGTGGGAGGGTGGGGTTCACTCCGTCCAGGAGCTCCCGAGCGAAGTGAACCCCACCCTCCCCCTCAGAAGTCGTGGAGGGTAGGGGCAGGGTTCGCATGTGGCCCCCTAAAGGGCGGACCAGGCACGAGCGCATTCGTGGAAACACCCACTTTTTTTCAGGTTCGCTGCTTCTCTTGGCTGGTGCTAGCTTTCGCCGCAATCAGCGGCTCATCAGGCTTGAGCCTAAATTGGCTCTGGATTCGCACTCTACCTGCAAGGAGGAAAGACTGGTCTACTCTGCAAGAACGGTTTTTGAAGGCAGATCTGCCTTCAAAACACCGTTCTTACAGAGTAGACAATTTTTTGAAGGCAGATCTGCCTTCAAAAAACCGTTCTTTTGAAGGCAGATCTGCCGTCAAAAAACCGTTCTTACAAGGCACGAGCGCATTCGTGGAAACACCTGTGCGCACATGCGCGCGCAGCCCCTGCCCTCCGCCACCGCAGCTGCCCGGCGGGTGCGCGGCGGCGGCGGCGCACCGTGCCGACCGCGGCCCCCGGCGGCCCGTGGAGAGCCTGGAAAGAGAGAGAGGGAGGGAGAGCGAGGGCGAGAGAGAGAGGGAGAGAGCGAGGGAGAGGGAGAGAGGGGGGGAGAGGGGGAGATGGAGAGAGGGGGAGAGAGAGAGAGAGAGAGAGAGAAAGGGACGAGAGGGACGAGAGGGAGAGAGGGAGAGATAGAGAGAGAGGCAGAGAGGGAGAGAGGGAGAGAGGGAGGGAGAGAGGGAGAGAGAGAAAGGGAGAGAGAGGGAGGGAGGGAGAGAGGGACGAGGGCAGGGGCAGGAAGCAAGGCCGTGCTGGACGGCGGCCGCAGCGGGCACACACAGGGGGGCCCAGAGGGCACGGCAGCACGCATCGAATGGCTCCAGAGGGCCGCGCCAGCGGGACATATGGAGAGGGGCAGCGCCCCGAGGGAGAGCAGCACGGGCTCCGGCAGGAAGGCACTTTTGGACGCCGCGCACAGATGCACACGCACACACACACTTACACACTTACACACGCACAGTTACACACTTACACACGCACACGCACACGCACACGCACACGCACACACGCACACGCACACACGCACACGCACACA